TTACTAAATAAGCACTAGGGATCTGGAAATGGCAACGTCCTATCGTTTTTAAAAGTCACCACTGTTTTACTATGCATGTTCCAACTTTAGCTTTTGAAGACACGGGTCTGTCACTTTCAGTGACTGCTAACCGAGGATCTAACACTGCGTCTGTATTACAGGTGATTGAAACCAGCAGTAGTGGAAGAAGTATTCAAATAATTTACTGCAGCCTTTCAGAACGCAATTATGTTCCAAATATTATGGTGGATTTATATTCTAAATGCACTCATAAATCATTAGCATCCATTTATAAATCATTTGCATTAAAAAAAATTCAAATTATTTTTTCTGCCCATTCCAACAAATAATAAACTAAAATCTAAAAAAAGTAATATCACATTATGGTAAATTGATTTAAAATGTATTTTAGTGCTTAATTAAACCAAAAGTCTAATATACAACCTGTCACCCAGCGAGTCTGATAGATCTTTCATCTGTATGTGTGTGATATTTGTCCAGTTTATGAAATCCAGACCACACATCATGTTGATAACTAAACTCAAATTGTAGCCACTAACTAATTAAATTATTTCCTGGTAAAACTTTAATGCAGAAATATGCAGCCTTTGCATTCTGGAGAGCCACCACATTTTAAAATAATGGAGGAAAACATTTGGTCAATACACTTTCTTGCTTTCTTGCTAAGAGTTACAGTAAATAAGATCAATACAAATGTCATTTTCTATGTTCTGTGTCTTCGGTATGAACCTAGAGGGAGGAAGAGATTAGCCTAGTTTAGAAATGACTGGAAGCAGGGAGAAACACCTAGCCAGCCTTTGTCCTAGGGATGCACAATTAATCGGAATGTTTTCGAGTGTAATATCCAAATCACAGAAACTACAATTTGCTTGATGAAGGTAACCTGTGTGACAAACACCATTATAATGAAGTGCTGTAGTGCTGATGCCATGACCTATACATCGTGTCCTCCAGATATAAGAAAACATGTTTGTTTGGTACGGACCCCAACAAATGTCACATCATCATATATTGATATTTTTTTTAGTGATAATCACACTTGTGATTCCCACACTTATTGTGTTATCATATTGCAATATGCCATTTTAACCATATCATGCAGCTGCAGCATTGTTTAAAAGGTGAAGGGGGCGTATTCAAGCCAAAATTGTGTATAAAATTGCTCTTTATAAATCAGTCATCATGGACATATAGGGCGGTTGCTAACAAGTGGCTAAATTAGACTACAGAGGTCTTCAGTGATATTAAAACACAGAGACTTATCTACTCACTAGTCCAGCCTTGTTGTGTCTATACGTTAGTGGTAGTGATGTTGAAGTTATGCAACCAAGTTTATTTTCTGCAATAATCCAAAGCCCAATGGGAAAAGCCCATTGGCTTTGTCTCGCAGGAGGGTGACGATGGACGAAGGACGATGCTAACTTCCGGGTTGGACTACAACAATACGTCTTCCCTGCAGCACTCTGTTAGGGTTACATCGACGCTTTAAATGATGTTTTATGTCAGAGCTCTGCTCCTGAGGCAGCATAGGTAGGAGCTGCCTGCTGCTCTTAAGATCAGTTAATTTTAGGGAACAATTTTCAGGTACAAAATGTTCTGGGCAAATAAAATGATTCGACTCCCTCTCCTGCTCTAGCACTGATAGATGAAAAGAAAATTATTTGGAATATTTTGACTTCTCAGAGTGCAAGGCGCATAAGCAGAGTCGTGACTTTTTCATTGCGTAAAAAAAGGGTACCAAATATGAATACAGTTCTTCGGAACAGCCAGAGAAGAAAGTAGCAGCAACACCTGGCAGCATTTAGTGTGACTAACTGATATTTTTTGCCAAGAAACATTCTGTTTGAGGAATGTTTTCTCCCTGAAACTGCTGCAGCACAGTTCAATAAAGACTCCTTGAACCAAATATCATCTGAAATGTAAGACAGAGAGGCATTCTGGGAATGAGAAATATGACTGTAAAGCACTATGGGAGGACAAGAGGTATTACAAAAAGCTGGTGCTGATTGAGAGAGTGAAAACATCCTCCCCACTGTCAACACACCTTTGGAAAATGCACACTGTATATATAAACAAACACACACTTTCCACAGAGCAAGGTCTGTCTCCACAGTAACAGGAGGTGCATTAGATGAGCCTGGCTCCAAAACATAAAGTAACAAGGATGAGGTTTATATAATATGTGCTTGTTTGTGTCATGCCCAAAACTTTGGTGACTAGATGAAAACATATAACATATGTGTGAGTGTTTGAGTGTGTCTGAAGTGTGCACACAGCCCAGGGTAATATTGTGCCTTTCTATAACCAAGTACACAAATACCTAGTATCTTTTTTTTAACCTTTAAAATTTTCATTTTTGTTGGAAATGGCAGCAATTCTAGAACTGAAACCAATTGATTTGTCTAACTGATGTTATGTCTGTGTGTTTTTAGCATACAGAGGCTTGACTGGGCTGACCTTTTCAGCACCCTTGCCTTTAATGAAGGACTAATTAAGAGTCCAACTGGGATCTGAAAGTGTACTGATTAACTGCTCCTTGAGCACACATTGTGCTCTTTCGTGGAACACTCAAAAAGACTCATTATGGTACACGGAGAAAGGATTAGCTGTTATAACTCTTACAGTCAAAGACTGTCTCTGTAAAACGTCACAAATTATCTCTAAGCATTGTGGTTTATACAGTCAAAAGGTATTTGAACTGAGAAGTCAAATGTGTCATTGTCATAAACAAAACTTTGGAGTGTGTTGGGGTTGTTGCTTCAGACTCACACCAGCATTTAACGGCAAAATTTTGTACGGCTGACCAATGGCAAGCTGTCTTAAAATTGCTGACCTTTGAGGTAGAGCCAGAGATTCCAAAATAGAGAAAGATATTACCAGGATTTCGACTATTAAAGGTCCAGTGTGTAGGATTTAGTGGCATCTAGTGGTGTAGTTGCAAATTACTTCCTCGCACTCCATAAGTGCAAAGGAAAAATCAAGGTGGTCATGAAAAAGGCAGCTCCCTATCTAGAGCCAATGTTTGGTTTGTGCCTTCTTGGCTACTGTAGAAATATGGTGGTTCAACATGACGGTCTCCATGGAAGGCGACCCTGTAGATATAAATGGCTTCGAAACTATTCCTATTTTCAGGTGATTGTAGAGTAATGAAAACATACCTATGCATATTGCATTCTATTTCTGACAATAGATCCTCCTCAATGTTACACACTGGACCTTTAATTTGTCATGTGCTTGTGGACCATGGTTTTTATCAATTTATAGAATTGTTTTGTTTTAATAAAAACTGCACAACTACTCATGCTTCTTCAATACCCCTTAGCAAAAAAATATGAGAAATACACGATTCCCTCCACTGCCCAGTTCAGTGCACCTGCAGAGCAGCTGCCCCACACTCAACTCCTATATCAGTCTACATAGGTTTCATGCTTTAATGCCTTCGTTCATCATCTGTCATGTGAAAATGTCAGATTTCCACGTATAGAAATAAAAAAATTCCAACCAGCTCATAGTTCACCACGGTAGAGTCTCTTACCCTCCGTTTCCATTACCCCTATCTTTCCATCAGCTTTTCCATCACAGTTAGTTTTCTAGTTATTGTCATTTTGAGACAAGACTCTGTTGTTTACAGCCTGCCATGCTGTTGCTCCTGCGTACAAAGACACAGATAAACAGAACGTCTGATTCGACTGACAACATGTCTGAGTCTGGGTCTGACTTGAGTCACTGACTTTTAGATGGCAGCCCTTGAAGCTGTTGTAGCTAATTAGCAGTGTTCCACCATCCACGTCCTTTTATTTAACAGCATTAACTGAACAAAAGCGACATGGCTTGCAGTCAATTATGAGACAGGAGCTGATAGTACAAATACATCTTTTGAATAAACTATTAGCGGCCAAGTTAGCAGATGCTAACTGCCAGTTAGCAAGCTTGTTAGCTTGCTGTGTTTCCACCTTCAATAACCATTTATTGTATAAAGTTATGTACAAACCTAAGAACAAAATGTCATGGGGGAATAAACGACACAGGACGACACAAAAGATGGACAGAAGCTCAGAGAACTATTAAGACTGGCTAGCGCTACCTTGGCTGGCTTGCATATTAGTGGTTAGCTTACCAGTTACAGAAGTATACTTACTGGTTCAACAAGTAGTCCCTATATTACTAAGATTCGAAGACCTGGTACTTTTCAAAGACACCTGTGTAACAAGGCCTTTATACGCCCACGACTTTGAAAGCTAATAAGACACCAGAATGCTGCACAGTGGTTTAAAATGTTTGTCCTATGGGTGCTGCTAGAGTAAAGGACATGCAGTCATTACATTTATACGGGTTCATCAATTTTAAGCATGAATGTGCTTATCAAATTTCCTGGCATCCTTCTGGTTAGCTTTAAATATTTCTTATGCACAGGTGGACATTTTGGCCTGATGATGTTGCAAGAGGAGAGGTCAGGGGGGCACCAAAATAACGCCCTCTTGGGGCAGCTCTGGCTCAGGAAGTAGACAGGTCATCCACTATGCACTAGTGTATCAATGTGTATGAATGTTAGTTTCTGTTTGTGATGGTCATTGCCATCTTTATATGAAAATGTGTGAATGCTTGAAAATCCATTCTTTCTTTGATAGAACAAAGTGTTTGTTATGTTTGTCCTGATGGTGTCAGACAAAGGGTTAGAGAGCTGATAATCATTGGGGGTCATCCTTTGGGAGCCCTGGATAACTAAATAAAATTTCTTTATCCTCATACTCTGGAGTTAAGTGTGGGAAGTAGGTAATTGGACTGAAGAAATCTACTGCATTTCAAATTTTTCATTTTATTTTAACCTTGTTACCTCTGGGATGTTACCAGCTCTTCCAACTACTCAAATGATGCAGATGTATGACATAATGAGGGCCGAGAAGCATCAGGAGGAAACAGAGTTCATGCAAATGCAGTCTCAGGCACTTCCCAGGTACCTGTCACTTATTTGCTCTTACCTGCAGTGAGAGGGCGCAGTGCAGGCAGAGCGCGACCATCACCACGGCGAGCAGCACGGTGGCTACGTTGCGCACGTCGCCCAGCGACTCCACCAGGGGAATACTTCCCACCTGCCAGTCGTAACACAGCACGATGGGGGCCAGCAGCAGCCAGGCGTTGAAGGACAGCAGGTAAGAATAGGTCAAAATCCTGGGAGAAGATAGATGTGAGGCAGATGGAGGTGAAACAGAGGGGGGAAGAAAGAGGAGAAAGAGAAAAATGTAATTCAGTGACGCTATCCCATTGTCAAACCTTATCAGAATTTCAATCAATCACTATAATCATCTTGTTTATCTAAATACTAAAGTGATTGGCATTTTACCTGAGGATAAAATGAACAGAAGGTTGTCCAAGGTTAAGTATTGATTGGGAGTAATTTTCTAACCTGACATTTAGAGCCCAATCAAATAAGCCTGTGCCAAGTCACAGAGTGTATTGAATGCTAAAAGCCTGAGTCGTGTTGCCACTGCTTTTGATTTTGCCGTCATCGCCTTTTTCCTCTCCCTTTCTCAACATTTCTCTCACTGGGTACTGCGTGGCTGTCTGGAGTATTGATCTGGGCACAGCGTGGCAGCTACGTGTCTACTTCAGTTTGTACAGCTAGGGCAGGGCAAGACAGAGAAGCTCTTGGTCTGGTCCAACAAACAGGACGAGTGAAGGACAAAAGAGGAGAACTGAATAAAGGACAGGAAGAGATATGGGCAACTTAAGAGTACTTCAGGATGCCCAACAGCACAAACACACACACACAAACATTTTCTTGTGACCTTTCATTGTTAAAAATTCATGCTAGCCCCTAAGTGCATTGAAGAAATCACAGACTGCCTAATGCTTAACCACAGACAAGAGTCAGTATCTGATCCCTAAATATGCACAATCAACTTTTTTTCAGTTGCGATCCAATTCCAATACTTGGAATGGGATATTAAAATACCTTTTGCAGATGCTTAATTTGTATTGTAGGATGCAACACAACTTCCATCCCTCGGAATGTCCGCTTTACACACATTAGAAGTTTATGTCTTACTTTTCTGTGTTTCAAGACTAAAATATATCCAAAACTAAGGCCAACTGTTGCTATCTCACTCTTTTGCAGACAGTCTGCAGATCATGGTTTCATGGTCTGTAAGTCTATATCATAGAATTCTGGGAGGCAAAAAAATATGGGGACTACTGGATATCTTGTACTACAAGATTTTGGCAATGGGCTTAAAAGGGCATTATTATATAATTACTATCATAAATCCATCAGACTATGGATTCTGGATAGGTACGTGGATCTGTGATGTCAGTCCGATATCAAATATGAGAATTAGGCCAGTATTGGAACCCAATACGATACTGGATCAGATCGGTCCTAAGTCTAGGGAACCCCATCTATGGTGAAAGTGCTACACTCTGTACACCCGCCGTCCTGTGACAGTGCCGTTCACAAATCTAGCACTTCATTCAAACGTTGCCTCTGAACATAATCTAGACAGTAATTAAGTTTTTTCATTGCAAAGTAACAGAAAACAATTTAGTACTAAGGTCATTTCTAGGAGACAGGGTTGCAAATGGGCTGTTGAAATGTCAGCTGCAGGTAGGTACAGACCACATCCTGTTATCTTGTGTCTGGAATGAACGCCACAGAGAATATGGTAGTAATGCACCCTTTAGTTTGCCGAGCACTGGAGGAAGCAGAAGTGATTTGCATTGTTTTGGCAGTTGCGGGCGGAAACATTTTGACTCATAAACAGCATTTTCACATTTACCCACAGCAATGTGGACACGTCCTGGAACTATAATTGGTTTTCACAAGGACTGCAGTACAAGAATACACACACTAATTAAGATTGAGTCAGACAGCTCAGTGGCTGAGGGACGTGTCATTACTGCCCAAACTGGTTTCCTTGTAGTCTTTAGTGGAGAGGATTGGATTTGTAATCTACTGTAGGAGAAGTGTCTTTGACTGTACACGCTTGAGCATACATTTTGTTAAGTCTTCTACTGTCAAGTGTTCCCTCTCTTTTACCACATGAACACAGGGGCTGTGACACACTGTAAGAAGGTGGTCTCTTTTGCAGTGAACTGTAACTAAAAGTAGTCCATCCTTCACTGGCATTTTGTACTCTCCTCTGTTCATTTGTCTGCACTTTCATCTTTTTGATTCATTTTACTTTTACTGTTTTTCTGAAGAGCTAACGCCGGCTTGTCTTGGTTGAAGGATGGTTTTTGGAGTCAGATATGAATGTCCCCTTGATCTTTTTCTTGCCGCCTGGTCGATGAGTTTGACCTCAAAGTCTGTGCACCAGAAACTGACTGGGAAGGGGTCAAAGGTCATAGACAGAGAGTCAGTGGACAGCTGGGGAAAGATCAAAGAGGATATTGACATCTGACACTAGGGACCGTCTTTGAACAAAGACAGGGATTATCATCTCTCCAACTCTATTGCATGACTAAAGTTCTGTGGCATTTGGTATAAAGCTCTCAAAAGCCAGATAGTGGCCTTTTGAGTTTACATTAGCTAGAAATCTTCTCCCTGCCTTTTGATGGCCTATGGTACTCTTCTTGGCTTGTCAAGGTCCGGACACATTAGGCTGACGGTTGGCAAAGCAGAAAATTACTTTGTCAAGAGGGCACGCACAAAAGCATTGTCTCATTTCTCAACTTCATCTCATCTGATCACTTAAATACACCTATTACAAAAATGTCTGATTGAGAGCAGGCAAACCTACATCAATTGGGCTGCTTTTCTTTATATCTGCAGTTCTAGGTATTCCGATGGTTGTTTTTTTTAAATTATGAATGCAGACTACCACTACCTGCTGGTATGTAGCGTTATTAACTCTCGCACAGGTGCAGAACATGTGTGCGATATGGCTGTTTGCTGTAGTTGGTGAGGTGTGTTCTAGTGTGACTTTTTGGCCAAGACATGTGACGGCTTTTGTTGCCACTAGTTCTTTTGATCTTCATCACCAGCTGTATAAATGGCTTACATGCCCTACACAATCAGTCAGTCACTATACGTGTGTACTGGTGTGTGTGTTATGTACAAGACAAAATAAATGTGTGATTGCTGATGTCTTTCCAAAACCATGGCCATTAATCTACTGTTATTACAACCTCACTCTTTTGGTTCCAACAGATTTTAAGAACTGGCTGCGGGGATCTGCAGTCATTCAGACGCCAGAGCATTAGTGAGGTCAACACTGATGTTGGTGATAAAGTCTGGCTCACAGTCACAGTTCAAGTTCCAAAGGTGTTGGATGGGGTTGAAGTCCAGGCTCTGCAGTTTTCTCAAGTTATGTCATACCAAAATGGCAAAACCACTTCTTTATCCTGTTAAAACCCACCTGCACGCCAGTGCCGAGCTTAGGGTTAGGGGTTTACAAATGTGGTTGGGGATTAATGGTAGGGTTAGAGGAGAGTTTATTGAATATCACTGCGCAACAGCATTATATCTCCTTTCACTGAACTAAAGGGCATGGCCCAAACCCTGATTTCTAGACCAAAAGTTGTTGTTGGCAACACCCCTTAGGCCATGTAGAACGTGTACTAATATTAGAAAGGATTGACCTTCTCGTTTTAATTAGTGGGAGTCCTTCTTTCATCTGCAGTTATTATTCCTTTCCCACAACTGACTTCCAGCAAATCCGAGCACCACTCCAAGTCGATTCTACCCTCTGACTCCAGCAAAACGAGGTTACTACACAAAAGACACTGAACTAAAGTCCTCATCGATTCTGACAGAGGCCGTGCTGGACTGAATTCTGAATAGTCAGGCTATGAAGACCAGCCACAGGTTAGGTATTGATTTCCTCTAGGGCGATCTAACGGAAGAGTCAGAAGCTTCAACTTGGCTGTGAAGCCATTCTGCTGACGGGCCGTGAGGAAGGGGGGCAGGCCAAATCACCTCTGAACGTGACAATGAAAACATGTTGGAAAGACGAAAAGGAGCTCGCGCTGCCCTTCCCTCTTTCCGACCCCCCTGCTGTCCCTCTTTGTTCTCCTGATTTCTGTTCAGATTGGCTATTAAAGAGATTGACGGCTGGAGAGAGACACGGGAGACAAAGTCTGAAATAAACACAAGCGTGGGTCAATAGACATACAAAGACTTGCAGAGGACTTGCAGAGGTTGTCTTAAGCTTACACACACACACACACACACAATCACACAGAGATAAGGCAGCCCTGCAAGGTGGTGCTGACAGGCCGTTTAGCATGCAGCAGAATGTTCTCCACCTGCCGTCATCTGATGGGTCTGGGCCATAAATTCAATTCCCTTTTCCACACTTTGCAAGGCCCTCTAACCACAAATTATCCCCCACACACATGCATGCATACACACACTCTCGCACATACAGATGCTCACAGACAGGAGAAGAAACAGAAGGTAGAAGGAAAAAAATTGTGAGGGATCAGGGAGCAGAAACAGAAAATTAGTCATTTTTCAGGTGGTGTAGGGTTCTGCTCTCCTGAGTCTCGTCTGAAAACAAGCCCACAGAAAGGGAGAAGATAAAAAATAAAAAATAAAAATAAAAAAAATTAAAGATCCCCTCCAGATATATGCACTAATAGTCTGCTTGGAACAGTAATGTTTGTCTGATATGTTTTTTCAACTATAAAGTATAATTTCATGTCATGTCCTCCTTCTACTTCATTAAAAATTCTAGAATCTCTGAATATGCAAATGTTGTTCATTTCTAAAGTTTTTTCTGCTGGACACAAGATGTGATGTGACTTCACTGTAAAGTCCATTCTCAGTGGATGTGCACTGGTGGATCACGCTTGTAAAAGTTGCATACTAGACCAGGATTGACTTCCAAACTATTTGTGATCATACTCGTAGAACCCCCCCCCTTAAAATCTGATTTTTAATGAGCTCAGAGAAAACTCTGCACATACATCATTCTGCACAGTAAGGATCAAACGTCACACTGTAGAAACATAAAGAAAACTGACTTTTGACTAGAGGGAGAAAAAAATCTGTAAAAAGTAATACATAAATCACATAAATAAATAAATAAAAAAATAAAAATAAAAAAATGATTTTTGCCCTTTGGCTGGTGAAACTCAGATCTGAATCTATTAAAACACCAGGATTTCTTACTTGGGCCTTCATCTTTATAGCTCTGGAATCAATGTGAGCTATGACTTTTCAGTCTCTTCTCATTGCTGCCAAACACAATTATTTCTGTCTTGTCTATATTTAATTGAAGAAAACATTTTGGCATCCATCTGTTGACTTGTTCTAAATACTGGCACAGCGGGGACCACAGTAATTTTGTGAGCGAGCTAAGTAAATCAGGGTGTCATCTGTGTAGCTGTGATAAGCAATCTTACGGTCTTGCCGGAACAAACCCTGGGGAAAGCTGAGATCATAAGTCATAATTAGCTTTAAAAATCTATTTTGTATTTCTACCTACACATTGTCAATGTTGGACAACCAAGACAGTATGGAAAGATGGATAGAGCGAGGAAACACTGACAGACAGACAGTCACATGGAGCGGTGATAAGGGAATACTTGAGGCTCAGCCAGACATCAGGGAGCAAAAATAATGAGAGCAGAAAATGAAGGCGGGCAGCATGGACAGAGCCAGGGATATGAGAATCCGCAATAAATTTCCCAGGTGGCCGAGGAAGAGGAGAGCTATTTTTCACTGCTGCTGTGCTAATGACAGATTATGTGCTGTTTTCACCGCTGACGACAAACACTGACACCACTGAGACTGAGCCAGACTTCACTATTGTCTGCAAACACCAGCAATGCTCAATACTAACTTGGTGTTAACTCATTACTAACTCCTACTGACACATTACTAACTTCTATCTGTCTAACTCAATGTTAACTAAGTTTTCTGTCAACAAGACAAGTGTGCAGACAGTCAGAGGCAGAAGTTAAGTTGACTGAACTTTTTCTTTGTTACCTCTCAGGCACAGATTTGAGTTGAGACTAGAGACATGCCAGCCACTATGTGAGGCCGTACTCAGGCACAGTGAGCAAAATGCTAATGTGACCATATTAGGGCTGTCAATGAATATTCTAAATTTGATTATATAATCAAATTGCAAAACAAAACACATATTTTATTGTAGCAATTAGTATTCAGTTATTGAAAAAAACAGTACCACCACATCTGTCTACATGGTTGTATTAGACTCAGTATGATCATTAGTTAATATTATCTCCAAATCCAAAGTACAAATGGACTACTAAGATTCTTATTAATTACTTATACAGGTTGTAGTAAGATGAATAATAAAATGTAATAATAATCTGTATTATTAAATTCTCAGTAGTTTTAGGCATGATTCAGTGTGCCATTTCTATCTTCTAACTAACTCCTGAAAGCCAAATATACTACTAGATATGCGCTGATATATGAAAATCCCAATTTATATTTATAGCACAGTATACAATATTGTCAGTTACATCTAAAAAAATAAGTGAATTTGTATTGAAAATATTATTTTTTCCAAATCAAATTAGATTCTTCTTCCTGTGTTGCTTGTCCAATTGGGGACAAAAGCCGTGTTCCCAGTTTGATTTTTGGGTCAGTGGTTGAGGTTAGGGAAATAGTGGTTAGGGTATGAATGTAACTAATGCAATGTCCTCAAAAGTGACATAAACAAACAAGTGTGTGTGTGTGTGTGTGTGTGACACTGACCTGGTGAGCAGGTGAGGTGAGAAGGAGGCGGGGTTGTCCTGTTCAGAGAAGAGAGGCATGGATCCTCCCATCAGCCACAGCCTGACCGACATAATGATTACCACCTGGGGGAAGGTGGGGGAGTAACGTTACAATTACAGTCCACCAACAGTTTATGACAGCTAAATGACCATTTACACTGTGACAGTGCGCACTTAAAATAGAAACCAATATGGAAGAAAGTCTTACAAGCTGAACAGGACAGCAACATTCAAATGTACTAATGAGAAAATACTCATTCCTCAGTCCTCCTTTTCAGCTGTATCATCATGTAACTTACTAACCTTACTGCAGCAGAATATTCACTGTGATAGATAACCAATAAAGCAACTTCAATCAAAAATACTCACATAGCCAGAGATGAGGCCAGCTCGTTTGATGAAGGGACTGCAGATGTGGAGGAGGTCCCTGAGTCTGGAGCCGGACAGGTGGCTGTGGGACACAGATATACAGAGGGTCAGTCAGGCTTAGTCAGTGGCCTTAAGTCAGCAGTACAATACAGTCAAAATAGACATTCTCACAGGCTGTATGACAGGTTTAAGAAGAAGAAAGAAATGTGACGGGAGCAAAGGCCTGCAGTCAGAACATTTTGTGTGTTGTTGCTAGTTGAGCCATACGTCACCAAACTGCCAGCAGTTTTATTCTTATTGGAAAAAAATGCCTTTAAATATGAATGAATTATACAAACAAACAAAAAACTTTCACTTTAGGCAGTCACAAAACAAGCCAGCAAAATCCTGGAGGGGAGAGAAAAATCTGTTTGAAAGGGACAATGTTATATTATGGGTTATATTAAGGGGATATTAAGTAATTTTACCTATTTTCCAATTTCAGCTATAAACTGTGAAAAAGCTGAGATAAACTGTGTTAACGATTAACAATGTTTCTTTACAAAAAGTAGATAATAAGTAGATAGATAAATAAATCGACCTTCAGTCATTAAAAATGTGTCCATGACTAATAAACTTAGACAAAAAATGTTTTTGTCAATTATTATTATTTATTATTATTATTACAATTACTAACACAGCTTTGTTAGAGGACATGAACTCTGTCTCTCCCTTCCTCTCTCACATACATGCTTTTTCACATCTTAACAGCGAATTTGAACAAAAAAATCTGGAGGTCTACACTGTCTTTTTTAGCCTAGCGTTTAGCTGCACTGTGCAGAAGAAGAACAGTCCACCACTTTGAGCACAGTGCCAGCCCCCGGACTCACTGCTGCACAGCCCCGCTCTAACCAGCATGTGTGTGTTTGACAGAGAGTGACAGAGAGAAGGGAGGAGAAGGAGGAAGGTTGACTTAATAAATACGTCAAATTCAACATGTCATTTACTTTACTATAGTCTAAAGTATTTGTTTAAAAAGAGTCAGGGCCGGGTAGAGTACAGCATTATCTATAGTGGACAATACACTGATGAATTGAGCTACTGTCTGTGATCTTACTGATTTATAAGAAAACAACTCAGGATTTTGCTGCATATAGGAAACCTAAGGTGTGTGGCTGAATGCAGACCGAGCAGAAGCAACAACCAAGCAGAAACCCCAGGTTTTAGAGTTTCTGCTCATATGCACATTCGCGCTCTTCTCTGCTAAGAACGGTAGCTACTTGTTAAGGAAACATCAGAAACACAGCCCTGCTTTTTCCAAATTAGCACCATGAAACACAGTTGAGGCAGACAGAAGAGTGGGGAGTGAGAGAGAGTGCTGCAGTACTAACTCACATTATGGCTACAAAGGTAGCAGTAGATGCCAATTAGCAAAGCTGTCTGCGATACAAGAGGTCTGGTTTTTGGTTCTTTGAACCAAAGAATTCTTTGTGCGTTTTCAAAGATTACTGAGCTCCAAACAGGCCAAAATATCTGAGCACGAACTGCAAAAGCAAGATTATTAAACACACCAAGGGGAAGAGTTGGGGATAACCAAAGAAAAACATAAGACGGAAAAAAGGCTTCTTTTCCTTTAAGTATAATGCTGTTGACCTCATGTTTGACTAAGCAGACTCCATGTTCAGCCCTATCTTCCGACTGTGGTGGAGGCTTAGTGACTGAGTGAGCACTTTAAGCTGTCAATCAATGTGCAAGTCACGAATGAAGAATGCACAGAAGCGTGAATGTTTTGATTCAGTTCAAAATGTTCTTTCCCGGTGTGCCCTGGTGGTTAATTAACCATGAACCTGCCGGGGGATGTTCGTGGCATGTTATTCCTCATTTTTCTCTCTCACTCTCTTTGTCTCCTGTCATCTCTATATAGTCAAAAGAAAAATACTGTTTCCTCGAGCTGTTTCAGATGCCTGTATACAGCTCTGATTTATTTCACAGTTCTGTCTGTAGAAAAATATGAAATCTGACGGAGCACACAAATGTAATGAATAAATAAATAGGAGCCACTATTTTCAGTAAAAACAGTACAAAATGCTGGTCAAATGTTTCCAAAGTATCATCTTCAAATTGTTTTGTTTTACTAGTTGTCCAAAACCCAAAGGTATTCATTTTACACTTATATAAAACTGAGAAGAAGAAAATCCTCACATTCATAAAGCGAGATGAGAAAAAATGGGTTATTGGGTTATCAGTGAGTATCATGTATGCACAGATCCAATACAATATAATGTATTAGCCGCAAACAGTCAGCAGTGTCCTGTTTTACTTTTTTTGCCTGCCAGAATAACAAAATCATGACCCGCCTTACTCTGACTATATATCTCTTTTTTAACGCACATGTATTAGATCGGTACTCGATATCAACCGATACATAAAGTTCAGGTATTGGAATCAGTATTGGGAAGGAAAAACATTTTATCAGAACATTTACCACAAATCCAGCCAGCCGTGCAGCAGTAAGAAAGGCAGAGTTTGAACTCTCAACAACTACTTCTGTCACATTTTGTGTATTGACCCAAACACTGAATGTAAAAACACATCCATGAGGCACACTGGTGCACTGGCTGACATGTTTCTTCATTACAATGAACACACACACTGTAGTTGGACTCAATCCCAAATACACCTAACCTGATGGTGTGTTACACAGAACCATCTGGGAAGTCGTTATTGGAAACTGTTTGGAAAAGGGCTGGCACTTTCAGAAAATACTCGGCGGTGATTGGATGAACCATCTGTCTATCTATCAGGGTGAAGTTCACCCCTGATAGATAAATAGATCAGATAGATCAGATCAATGAACAATATAACATAGTCAAACTCTTACTGAAGTCAGTTGGGAGAACAGAGAAAAACATCTTTTCCACAGAGAAAAGCCTTCAGTGGCATTCTTTGTTCTTCCTCCCTGACGAACCAGTTCTGATATAACTGATACAAGAAGCATCTACGCCAGTACTTCTCAAATAGTGGGGCGCGCCCCCTGGGGGGGCACAGTGAGGTGTCAGGGGGGGCACGACAGGCAGGGGTGACTGACGGAGGAGGGGAGATGGAGAAGTTTCTGACAGGAGTAAAAAGAAAAACGGAGGAGGCGTCAGAGGCAAGAACAGCAAGTGACGGTAACCGGCATAAACCTAATAAGAGCAGGAAATACGACGAAGCCTACATAGCCTTTGGGTTTACCGAGAATATGGTCGGAAATGAGGAAAGACCTGTGTGTGTTTTATGTTTAAAAACTCTGGCAGTGGACAGCATGAAACCAAACAAATTAAGACGGCACCCCAGTTATGTCAATAAGCCACTGGACTTTTTTTTATCGAAAACTCGATGAGTATCGCCAACAGGCCGGTCATTTAGTGAGCGCGGCATCAGTAAATAAAAACACACCGTTAGCCTCATACAAACACCGCCACATCGCAAGGTGCAAAAAACACCACACAATAGCAGAGGAGCTAATACTCCGGCAGCATTGGACATGGTCACAGTCATAGGTGAGGAAAGTGCTGAGACACTGAATACTGTCCCTCTGTCCAATGACACGATCGGGAGATGTATATTTGACATTTCAGACGACCTCCAAGAACAACTCACAGAACATCTAACAGACAAACGTTAAATATAAGTAATATTGTTGCAAATTTTGCACAAAAAAAACAAATGTTAAAAAGTCATATACCTTTTTGAAAAGCAATAAGCTGATGAAGTTGAAGGGTGACCAATGTTTACAGTTAAAAAACGTTTTGAATGTTACTGTGTCTATAGTCTATAAAAATGCACATCCCAGTGAATCATTTGTTCTTTTTTCTCTGTTTTGAGAATCACACAGACTGAGCAGTTTTGTTTAAATGTTACAAATTGAGTTAATAAACTGAACATGGAAATTGTTTAAAGTTGTTACAGATGTTATCTCAGCTCATTTTATTAATCCATTTTGATAATCAGGTGATTGTATGCAGAATGCTGGTGTCAGCAACTCATACAGTGGTTTGTACCGATAAATAAATAAATATTATCAGGTTCTCAATAGTATTAAAATTCAGGGGGGGCATGAAAAAATGTCTGTCCTCTAGGGGGGTCATGACAGAAAATAATTGAGAACCACTGATCTACGCTCACCTCTTTAGCAGCTGCCATTGTTGTTTTTGAGCAAAGTCACTCACACACACACACCTAGCATTAAACCACACCTGCAGCTCATGCCGTAGTGGTCGGAACCACTCTAGTTGGATACAAGTGCATAGCTTGAAGCCTAGCAAGATGGATTCTTGTATGATCTTGCAAGTCTGGCTGCTTCGCAAGGTCTACATACACTGTCTTGCTGCCCCAAATACTCACCAAATATAAATTACTCTGCCACTGAAAATAGTCCCTAACAAATGCACATTTCATTCTGTTTAAGAAACGTTAAAAACTACAATGACCAGGTGTTATAGGAAATGATTCAGCCTTTTAAAAACAACACATTCATCAACCTATTTTTAAAGGTTTATGTCTTCTGTAGAAACCAATGGGCTTGGAGCTGAGAGCCACAGATAGGGTGGGGAAGTCAGAAAGTATCAAGAGACGGACTAAGATATTGTTGGTTATGGACTTTTTATGAGATTTGTTGACACTGAGAAAAATATAGAATAACCCCAGGCTTATATTTTTGCCTGGCTGCACCAAACTAGAGACTCAATTCCTCTTACTGGTTCAAAACATCTTATGTTTACAAGTCTGTTCTCTCCATCAAAACTCTTTTACGTTGACGAATCAGGCCACAGACTCTCAGATTAATAACCTTTTGCATTTGTTTCGTGACCTCTCAGTATTTTGCAACTCTGCAAAGTAACAAAGTCTACAAGGTCACCGTCCATGCACTCATACTTTTATCGATTCAACCATCCAGGTCATTTAAGAACTCTCTCCCCGAGGCGACATGGTCCTATCCATTAGTCTGAGGTAGAAAGCTCTGACTGCGGAAAAAAGGCAGCAAGAGAATAAGATGAGAGGGAGGGGATCAGTCAGATAGGTAGTGAATGGAAAAGCATGGAGAATCCATTCAACACCCCA